CTGGCCCTGTGGTGTGGCGAGATCGGGTCACGTCTGACTTTACTCGCAGTGTAAGAAGTCAGGCAGCGTGTGGGTGCTCCTGCGCGGAGAAGGAGAGGGAATACCGTTCTACTGAACAGAAGCTGGTGCCAGTCCCCAAGCTGTGTTGTCGCACACATACGTTTATTTAGCACAGCATCCTGTTCCTCTGCCACGCCTCACTCATTCGCTCCCTTCAGGGCTCTGGCCTCCTTTCTGTTTCGGGGATCTGCTAAACTGGCCCCCACTGCAGCACCTGTGTACCTGCCTACCGTTCTGCCTGGAAGGCTCCTGCCTCCAATTATGCACAGCTGCTGCCACTTGGCATTCAGGTCTCGGGTCAGAGGTTAGAGAGCTGAGCGCAGATGCTCCTGGTAGGGCCAGGAGGTCCGGCTGGGTGGAGTCCAAAGCAAGCACGGGGCCGTGGAGGGGTGGGCAGGCCCTGCTGCAGAGCGTGGCTGGGGGGGAGTGACCCCGGGGCCTGCTCGATTCTGGGGGTTTTGGGGTGGTGGTGCTGTGGGTGGTTGACTCGACTGCTAGCAAAATTTGCAGGAGTCAGGAAAATAGGTTCTGAGCTGGACCTCGTGGGGTTACAGACACAGTTACTGAAGTGGGAAATGGTTATTCAGAACTGAGTGCAGAGATCTTGATGCAGAGAAAAAATGATTTTGGATCATCGGTAGCCAAACTCGTTGGCTTAGCAGAAAAGTCATTAGTTTCTATGGAATGAGCTTTGACCAGATAAATATTTTAAAGATTTTATTAATTTATTTTGACAGAGAGGAAGGGAGGGAGAAAGAGAGGGAGAGAAACATCAATGTGTGGTTGCATCTCACATGCCCCCTACTGAGGACCTGGCCTGCGACCCCGGCATGTGCCCTGACTGGGAATGGAACTGGTGACCCTTTGGTTGGCAGGCCAGTGCTCAGTGCACTGAGCCACACCAGCCAGGGCTGGCCAGATTAATTTTGAGGGTATCATGAATTAGGGGAGCCCTCCAGGTCTTGGGGCACTAAGAGCAGGTCCTGGTGGGCTCCTTAATGAGGGAAAGCGGGCCGGTTATTCAGGGAGCAGCAGAGGGCCCCAGTTGTTGGAAATATAAGCAGTACAGTAGCTTCTCTTGTGATTCAGGTGTGAGAGAAAACAATTCGGGAACGGGGAAAGGGACAGAAAAGCCACCTGAACCGCATCTTTAATTTTCCAGCCACTTTCAATGTCGGAATTAAGCTGCTGGTCCACTAGCGTGCACCTGTGTGTTGGGGGACAGTCCCCCTGTTCTAATACTCTGTCTCTTTCTGCTAACATGTCCTTACACCTTGGTGTGGTCAGCCGTGGTCCCTGGTGGTTCTCCTGTAACAGGCCCGGTAAAAGCTTTAAATGAAAGCCCGGCACCTTCACCCTGTTTCTGCTGCTGCTCACTCACTTTGCCCTTTTGTGGTGTGCTTGATTATTTTTCACTGGGTCACTTGTCGCTTACTTGTAGGGATTCTCCTCTCTCTCTTTTTTAATCCTTATGAAAGATACGGTTATTGAGGAGAGAGAGAGAGAGTGAGAGAAGCATTGACTGGTTGCCTCCCATATGCACCCCGACTGGGGATTGAACCCACAACCTAGGAATGTGCCCTGCTCGGGAATGGAACCTGCAGCCTTTCCGTGTGTGGGACGACACTCCAACCACGTGAAGTACCAGGCCAGGACTTGCAGGGGTTCTGTGAGGCTTAAAATGAGGGAATGTTTTCAGGTAGCACCTGTACTTCCCTCTGCCACCCAAGGCCACTGTCCCTCTAGAACACTTTTAACTAAATTCACAGCTTGAGGTTTTGTGTTTTTGGCTGCAGACACCAGTGAGAGTGAGCCTGTGGGTATAATTCCAGGGAAGATTTTCTCTCCTGCTCAGCATGGAGGCAGCTTTTCTTTGCAGCTTCTGGAGGGAGGGGTGGGGCGGCCTCGCTGGTCCCACTTCCGGTCCCACTTGTGTATGAGACTCCCTGCCTTGGGTGGTCCTTAAGTGTCGCCTCCCCCTCCCCCACCCCCGAGAGCCCCACAAGGCTTTAAAAATTGGAACTCGAATGTGCCAAGTTCAGCAAAACCCTGGGGAAAAAGAGCTTCAAATCACAGCTATCCCTTTGCGTTTGTGATTTCATTTAGATTTGGTGTGATAATGATCAAATCTTTGATGCTTTTAAAAAGTAAAAAGAAAAGAAAACATTATCAGCATTTTTGGTTGTTCTCATTGGGAGGTGGGGTTAAATGCTAGCCAACCACAGCACTGGAAGTCATAGCAACTCCTCACTGGGACCTTCACACAGGTCACCCTCCCCTTGGGTGTCACACCCCATCAGCCACAGGGGCAGCGGCCGGGAGGTCAAACTGTGTGGCCTCTGGTGCATTTTGCCCCCTCTGCTCCTTGTTGGTGCCTTGCACCTCGTCAGTTTGAAAGTACAGCTTCTCACAAAGCTAATTAGACTTCAAGAGAAATCATAGACAATATGAAAATAATAATACTTTGCATTTTAAAAGTTTCACAGTATTTGAATGTTAACTCAGTTGAATCTCAAACTTAGTTGTGAGTAGTGGGTAAAGTAAGTGTATCTCCATTTTACAGCTGAAATTCAGAGAAAACCGGGCTTTCATGTGAGAGTGACCTGCCAGGCTGTAGGTCAGGGCCAAAGCGTGGCCAAGGGGCACCGCTGGTGCTCCAGGGAGAAGCCGTCCTGGGCTGGCCTGGCGGTCCGGCGTCTTGTCGGAAACAGCAGTGTCAGGAATTCTTTGGTGGAGAAAGGTGGTCGTTTTCTTCTGCCATGTTAGCTACGAAAGCTGACTGACCCTCCCACAATAATGCCTCGGAGTCCACCTTCAGGTCTTCCGAGATAACAGAACGCTCGCTCTCAAGGTGAACTTTGTCATGCTGGGTGCTCATATTAAAATTAATGATTGAGTTTCCCTATTCACACTGACTGCCAGAAAAGCCAGTTTTGAGATGGCTCCTTTGAGAGGATAGGACTCAATACACGGTAGTGAGTGCTTTTTTCCCCATTTTATGTCTCCACCCTGGCTTTTCCTTGTCCTTACACACTCTTCTCACATGTGTCAGTTATGTGGGGTGCTTTACGGTCCCTACTGAACTGGCTAAAAACTTTTAGAAACCAGTTCTCAAATGATAAGAAAAGAAACGAATGCATGCATGCACGAGTGAATGAATGAATAACTAGGGTTGAATACATGGTACAAGTGGTACAGGTTCAAAGAACTTGAGAACCAAATGTTATATGGGCTAAACTAGTCATCAAATGCTTAATGGAAGAGAGTGATATTTGAGGTCAGACGAGTTCAAAATAAATATGGAAGTGATACCAAGTGAAGAAAGCAATCTGAACAAAAGAATGACATCGGGAGTGGGCGTGGCATTTACTTAGATGTAAAGGCCTGTATGAATACATATGGGAGGCAAGGGTGGTATGTAAGTGTGGCCAGTTGGTGGATAAAAGCTGGATAGAGAACTGGAATTTGATTCAAAAAACAAAGAAGGCTTCTTATTAGACATGGTGGATTAGACGCATGTGTTTATCTCCTGTCCCTTCAAGAAAACTCACTAAGATGACAATAAAGGAAACACAAGGGCAACACTGCAGTGGGAGAGAGAGTGGAGAAGTCTAAGAAAGACAGAGAGCCCCTAGGGAGGTAGCAACAGACAGACTAGGGCCCCAAATGTCTCTTCTAAGTGTTGGAAGAGGGGAGAGAGGGGAGAAAAGGGCTTGCTTGTCGCTCAGAGTCTGTCAGTTCTCAAGGGCGCCAGGTACCATGAAAGGTGGAACCCAAACCCAAGGGTTGATATATGTCTGGGTAGGCTGCCTATTTACCCCAGCAACTACCTCCCTCCCCTAGGGAGGCTGGAGGCTTGTCTGCGGACACGGAGCAGGTTGGCTGTGGACCAGAGGACACCCGGCCCAGCAGAAAGAGGAAGGGTCAGACCTGAGTGGGCAGTGAGAAAGTCTTCACAGTGAGTGGTGGGAGCTCCAGCTTCCTCATTAAACTTCTTTGCTCTCAGAGCATAGGAAGACTAACACATCACTGGCCCTACCACAGGCAAAAGTGCCCTGTCGCCACCGCTGCTTGTGGGCTGTGTCCTGGAAATGCAGGTGTCTTTGATTTGAGCTTTGACCCACTGCAAGTTTTCCTGCTGCAGCGATTAAGTGCATGGCAAAACCCAGAAACCCCAAAGGAATAATCCTTCTCCATGACTGAATGTCAAGACCAGCAGGTCTAGACGATTTTAAGGGAAGGTTTTCTAGCATTGCTCCAAGACAGAGCCCACGGTCACTTAATCCAGGTGGCTCCCCAAACCAGGCCCCATCATAGGGTGCCTTCTGCTGGCCCCACTCCTGGCTCTGTCCCTTAGCAAAGTGACTGAAGGCCCTGAGGGAGGGTGGAGGTGGAGGGAAGTGATGACTCCCGCCTTGAGCTAAAGAAACCACTGCTTTCACTGCCGGGAGGTGCGGAGGGAGGAATTCAGGACCGAGACCCCTTTCAGTAAAAACTACAAAGGAGGCCCCAGCTGCGTCATCTAACGTAAGATACACAAGCCTTGTGGGAGGCTTTAACTTCTCAAAACCTGTCTGCAGGCTGCTACCCTGCTTGCCCCAAGTTTCAGAAGTTACTTCCTTTTCTATCCTTTTGTTTATTTGTGCTTCAGTCTAAGGTACTTCAAAGTGTGGCAAAAATAACAAGACATGGGTGGCTCCGAGCTGAGGAGGCAGGAGGGTGTGTGCGGTGCGCGTCTAAGGTAAGGATGGGACGGAGGGCACGGAATGGCCTCAGACGCTGACAAGGGAAGGAAGAAAGAGAAAGAAAGAAAAAGTAGAAAAGTCGTGCTGCCCCATGGTTATTTTGCGGCAAGGCAAACATTTCCTCATTCCAGAGCCGCTTGCCGCTCACAGGGGCCACCCTTGCTTTGCACAGAATACTGCTGCTGGGGGGACAGATGCCCCGGTGTCCAGTCGGAACCACACTGGAAGAGCCCCGCCCTGTGGCAGAAGGAGTGTACCCACGTTCGTGTGCGTACACAGCATGTGAGTTGCCCGTTCACAAGACTTTAAGCTGCTAGGAGTACTGAGTTGTTAGCTAAATCCGAAATCGGCGCAGGGTTTCAGGGCCTCTTTTCTGATGGGTGTTCCGAGGCACACTCTCGGTAACCGACCGGCAATGGGAAACATGAAGTTCAGTTCGGAGAGCCTGCTGGGGGTCTCAGGGGCACCGCTTGGGAGGAAGATACCTGACTTTTCATGGCCAAACTGGAAATGCCCTGGTAACTGACTGGGAACCTTTCTGGCTGCAGGCAAGTCCCACTGTTCTCCACCAGGGCCCACAGGCAGAGGCGAGCAATAGTTCTCCCTCTTGAAAGACTCACTGATAAGCTTGGCATTGGTTCAAAGGAGCAGAATTCTTTTTCATTAACCAAAATAGGCTCTGCTGTAAGAGTTTGATTTTTACCAATCTACCTCCAGCGAGATTAGATCAGACACCAGGATGAAAGTGTTTGAAAGATGTCAAGAGAGCCCACACGCGTGTAAAGCGGAGGGATGCGTCATAACCCACAAGTACGTTCTGCCCAACCCCCTCTCCTCGCTCTAAATCAAGACCCTTACCCTCTGGCATCAGGGGTGGGGAAGTGTGAGGCCTTTTTTGGTCTAGATTCCCAGCATTTATTTACTTTTGTTACTGACACAACGCCTCTTAAGCAACTTTTTTGTGGTTTCAGGCCTGATGCTGTTCTTAGTTGTAAAAACCTAATGGGCGACAGGCTTTCATTAAATTTCCTCCAGTTTTCCCTCTGCATTTTGTTGCTGCAAAGACATTCTTACACCTCCCAGTGGAAACTTCTGACACCTTGCAGGGTGTGTGAAGGGCATGGCAGTGGTGTGGGCCAGTGGCCGTATATGTCGGGAGTGCTAGGATTTGCTACAGAAACAATCAAGCCCCAAATCTCAGTGGTTTACAAAGAAAGGCTTGTTTCTCATCCACATTATGCCATTATCTCAGGTTGGCCGCTGCCCTGCTCCACGTGTGCTCTGGGGTCCAGGCTCAAGGAGCCCCTCTGGCGGGAACTTGCTGGGGTGACAGAGGGAAGAGAGAGACAGCCACAGGCTGGCTTTGAATGGTTCTGCCTGGAGAGGGCACATTTGACGTCTGCCTGCGTTACACTGACTAATGTGGGTTACTTGACCAGTCCCAAGTTCCATAGGACGTGAGTACCAGACCCTCCCTGAAGGAGGGGCACTGTCAGGAGGGCAAGCCCGATATTCCATGGAGCCAGCAGGACTAACACTGAGGAGGGTCCTTCTGTCCACTCGTGGTCTCTGGCCTGAAATTAATGGGCAACACACATCTATATATACAAGTTCTTAGGAAAAGCCTAAAGATGATTATTTCTGTGGTGGGAGGCACCCTGCAAGCCTGGCATTACTACCCCCCAAAGGAGCATACAGAGTGAAGAACATTTTCTTTCAGTCCCACCCTGTCTTTGAAGATGAGCCACACATAAAAGTCCCAGCTCAGGCCTAGGCCTGCCCGGCCCTGGCCAAGCCACACTCTCCTCCCAGGCCTGGGAGAGCCTGCCTGTGTCCCCTGGGTGGCCCAGCCCTCCGGAGGCATCTTCCTCAGGAGAGCGGAGGCCCCTCCATCCCATCTGGACCCCAGAGCCCAACCATCTTGGCCAAGGCTGCCCAGGGTGTCAGTCAAACTCAAGAATATTCTTTTAATACTGAATAACCATGTAGGGCTGGCAGGGCTCCCTCCGCCTGACAGATGGCGAACACATGCCTCAGGCAGCCCAGCTCTGCACATCAATCTCTCTCTGCTGGCTTTCAGCACATGCTTTCAGCCAAGGGCCCTCTCTAGCTGGAGCTCGTGATTGTAATGCAGGGTCTCTTCTGAGGACTGGGGCGTGTGGAGAGATTTGGGGGAGGAGGGGCAGGAAGTTTGGTGTTGCTATCAGATGTTGTTAGGTACATAATCAGATTTGCCCCTGGCTGGATCTGGCTGGCCCTCTGCTGACTGGCCACCATAGCGGCTCCTACTGTGTGGGCAGAGGGACCTAGAAATCACGCCAACAACTGGGAACCATTTTGGGTTTGTAAGATCGGACTCTTCCCATTACAACCAGGCTTTTCTTGTACTTTGGGTTTCACAATCAATCTGCTTTCACATCCTCTTACGAAGCTGGAGCATGTTGGGGAAGACAGCTTGTACAATTTCTCAGTAATTGCTGGGAGGGAGGGGGATTTCTGTGAGCCTAGGTGGCACCTGGAGACATGGGCACCCAGGGCAGGCAAGCAGCCTGCTCAGTTGCGGGCCAGGCACCTGGTGAAGGTCTGAGCGTCTAAGCCACCCCAACTGCTCGGCTCATCGTCATGGCCTGAAAGACCATCCACACATTCAGCAGAGTCCAGACCCCTTTCCCCAGAGCTCCAGCTCTACTTCTGGACATCCATCTGCCTTCTGGATATTCCCATTTGGGTGTTTTGCAAGCATCTCAAACCTCCCACGTCCAAAACCAAATTCGTGATTTGTAATCCAAAGCTTGCTTTTCTTCCAGTTTTCACAATCTCAGTAAAAGTTGCCACACTCTCCCTTTGCTCAAGGCAGAAAGCTGGAAGTCAATCTTGGTTTTCTCCACCTCACTCCTCCATCCAACCTACCTTTCACACATCTGCTCTACCAGTAAATCCTTTCCAACCTGCCTCTGTCCTGTATCTTGAGTCTGTACACCGCTCTTTGCCTTCAGGATCACCTGTCCTATGTCACTTCACCTGTGAAGTGAAGCCTGTGTCACTTCACCCCAGATGTCACAATAGCATCACTTCCACCCTTGTCCCATCCCCAAACCAACCTGATCCATTTTCCTGGCAGCTGCCATTGGGATCTTCCGACATAAATGGGACTCTGTCCAGGAGCCCTGCAGTGACAGGAGAGCTAACCTCTTCTTTGTGACGTGCTTGGGCTGGGTCCAGGCTCACGCTCTTGCCCCAGGGTGAGCTGCTGGGCTCCTTTTCTTCCAGAAACACAGGTCCCTTGCAGTTCTTTGATTTTACCCAAAGTCTTTCCAGTCTCAGGGACTCTGCACATGCTTTAGCCACTGTCTGGCTTATGCTTGCTGCCTGTGCATGTAACTGACTCTTTTTGGTCATTGAGGTATCAGCTCAGAAGTCTGTAGCTTGAGAGCGAGGCAGAGATGACCCAGAGCGGGTGATTGGAGGCTCAGTGCCAGGCGAGGATTTGCGGGATGGCCGAATATCTGGAGTGGACAGGCTAAAGCTGCCCTGTAAGGCAGGGGTGTCAAACTCATGTTCACTGGGGGCCACATCAGCCTCACAGTTGCCTTCAAAGGGCTGAATGTAATTTTAGGACCGGAATGTAATAAAAGGAACTACTCCTTAACAGTTAAGTGAGAGCTCGGTGCTGCCGCCAGGTAGAAACAAGGCGGAGGGCCGGATTCGGCCCCAGGCCTTGTGTTTGCCCCTTGCCGTGTAAGGTATTAGCAGGGTGTGTTGGAATACAGACTCACGCATGGCAGTGGACCAGACAGAAAGGTGATGCAATAAGCCAAGTGAGAGTTTAGAAAGGGCCTGAACTGGGCAGGTGGTCTAACTTCAGCAGAGTAATACAGGGCCCATAGCAGGGAGTGGTAGACATGGGTCCACCTGTATGTAATGACCTACCGTCTGAGACAACCTGTGTCTGACGTGGCGGAAAACTGCACCAGCTGCTTTTCTCCTTTCCTCCCTCTCACTGCTCTCCCCCAGGGGCTGGCATTTCCAGTTTAGTTGACTTGAAGGGATCATTTTACATCTGTGGTTTGGGGTGGTTATGTCTATGGTTTGGTCTCCCTTGCCTGGGATTTGGGGTAAATTACCATTGCTTAAGTTAAGTGACTCTGGTGTTGTGCACATGTGCTGGAAGAAAAGAAAGCAAGGGCAGAAGGTGGCGAAGTCCTTCCAGAGGAAGAGCTGCAAGATTCCCAAGAGTCTTGTTTGTCCCCCAAACGGCCCCCAAAGGAAAGCCTGAGCTCTCAGGAGCACTCTCTGCTGGAATACCCTGGGGCCATCTGTCCAACACCCCAGTCAAGTAAAAACCTTCCAGAAAGCGATGTGAATCACTGCTTACCAAATATAGTATGGGGTGTGTGTGTGTGTGTGTATGTGTGTGTGTGTGTGTGTGGTGTGTGTGTGTGGTATGTGTGTGTGTGGAGGGTCCAAAGCCAGGACCAGCCCTCCAGGTATTTGAAGTCTGTTTTCACGTTGTTCGCTGACACTGAATTTTGCTTTCATGTGTTTCCTCCTGTAATGGCTCATCTTCCAACTCGATGCTTCGCCTGTCTTTTATGTCCTTGGCTTGTCCTTGGATGAGTGAGTGGTGAGCTACTTGAGATAGCACCAAAGCAAAGGTCTTATGCCCCACCCCCCCTTAGTTTGAATTGATTTGCTGAAGGGAAGGTTTCATTGTTGTATAAGTCTTTATTCATTATAGAACATGCAAAGCCATATTTATTGGGGAATGAAAAGAAAACGCTAATTGTGAGAAATAGCCCAGCAGCTCTAACAAGAAATAAGAGGTAGAGATGGACTGGGAGAAATAAGAAATCACTGGTCATTGTCTGGGTCACAATCCACTTAAACAACTATGCAAATGCAGGGCTTAGGGAATTTAAATATTTATGGTGCTTGAGACAAAGCCATCATTAGATATTTTGAACAAAAAACAAGCATAGTGGTACTCTGTTCTACAGGTCTTTTTTAAAAAAGATTTTATATATTTATCTTTAGAAGGGAAGGAGAGGGGGAGAGAAATATCAGTGTATGGTTGCCTCTCATGTGTCCCCTGCTAGAACTGGCCTGCAACCCAGTCATGTGCCTTGACTGGGAATCGAACTGTAATCCTTTGGTTTGCAGGCCCATGCTCAATACACTGAGCTACACCAGCCAGGGCTCTACAGGTCCTTTTTGTAGGCAGTGAATGATTTCTTATTCCATAGGACATGCTCAAATCCTAAGTAAATTCATATTTGAGCCGATTATTTTATTTTAGGTAATTTATCTACAAACCAAGATTTGCCTCCAGAGGAGCAAAGGCAGGAAGCTGGAATCGGTCCATTGTGGTACCATATTCCTCATCACCTGGCTCATTCTGTGACATTCGGAGGTGATACGGGGGACATAGCTTTGACTGAGAGTTGCATTGCAGATTCCCCCACTGTGCTTATTCTTGTATGAAGCTCAGAAAATACATGTGAATTTTTTCAGGGACTTAAAGTTGTATCTATTTCCCCCTTCCATTTTTGTTTTTAATAGGTAAAATATATAATATTTAAAAATAATAGAAGATATTGAAAAAGGTACACAATGAACAATAAGTTATTTTTCTACCCCCGTCCACTCACCAATCTCTGTTCTCAGTTGTTCTTCTCTCAGACCAGAGGCAACCACACGTGTGTGTGTGCGTGAACCAGTGTGTCTATAATACGCTAAAGACACCAGCTGGTAGCATGCTCCATGCGCTGCTCTGTGCACTTTATAGTTTGTGCTCCCTCTGATATGTTCTCATTTCATTCTGGCAACTTTTCTTCTCCCTGATGAGCTAGCCAGGCTTCATATGAGGCAGCTTCTTCAAGTCAGTGATTGACACAAGATGCTCTTTTTGGCAATGGAAGGTCTATCTTTTTGGTAAAATATAATAGTACCGAGGGTTCTGCTTGGAGTTAATACTATTGCTGGTCTGTAGGGAGGGGTTGCTCATCCTCTAGCTTTCCAGGGGTGGGGTGGACAGAAGGAGGTAGGATTGACTTCTCTAGCATGTCAGAAAAGGTGTCAGCCACTAGGTGAAATTGTTGTCACCTTGTCTCCCTTATCCTACAGTGAGCAGTTGTCTATGAGACACAGAGAGAAGGAAGAAAAGAAAAGCAGATGGTCATGAGAACAAAAAATGGAAGATGGGAGACACTGAATAACCCTGAGAAAATGGAAGTTAGTTACAGATGGAGGCTTCTGCAGGAAGGAGACAACTCGGTGCACCTTTAATCCTCCTACAGCGGTGTCTAACCCACAGGTATGGGCTGTGTGTGGCCCAGGATGGCCATGAATGTGGCCCAATACAAAGTCATAAGCTTACTTAAGACCTGTTTTTGCTCATCAGTTTTTGTTAGTGTTTGTGCATTTAATGTGTGGCCTAAGACAACACTTATTCTTCTGGTGTTGCCCAGAGATGCCAAAAGGTTGGACACCCCTCCAGGATTTTCTGACTCTCATCCTTGCATAGACCCTGTGTTCGTATATCAGTTATGAGTGTGCTCTTTGTGCACCCAGAGGTCAAGAGCAATGTAAACAAGTGGAGAAGTGATCAGCTGGTAGAAAAGGGGCAGGTAGAGAAGCAGAGCCCTGGGGCAGGGAGAGAAGTCTGAGGTAGTAAATCCGTAATACAGAAAGCAGGGCATTGTGTTTACTGCTCAGCCAGGTTTCGATTCAGAGGCCAGAGGTGCTGGGTGCATGGGCACTTCCTCCTCCTGTCAGGCTGCAGTGGGAGCAAAACCAAGATGCTCTGGCACAATGGACATGTCCTTCAGGCGTGGCCACAAGAGCTTCCCCTCATCGAAGGCTTCCCTGAGAATCCTGCCCCGCCCCCATATTTCTGACCCCTCCCAGCTGTGTTTTTCTCCCCAGCAGTGGTCACCTGCTAACATGGTAGTTTCTCTGCTATTTTATTGTATTTATTGTATTATTTTACCTTTTAGTGCTTTCTGCCTTCCTCCATTAGAATGTAAATTCTACCAGGGAAGAGATTTTAGTCTGATTTATTTTCTTTCTATTTTGCCCTCTGCAGTATCCCCAGTGCACAGGGGAGGGCCTGGAAACTGAGTAGGTGCTCAGTGAGTGACTGAGTGAGTGAATGAACAGACAGTTAATATGAGGACACTTTGTGGTATAACCAGGGCAGGGAGGCAATTGGGTGTTTCCTTAGCAAAATCATGCCAGGCTTATTATTCCATAAGAAACATGGCCAACATTACATGAATTGAAGGAATGTGAGTCTCTCGTAGAGATAAGAAAAGAGCATCTTAGGAATGAAATCAGTCCTTGCTGAAGCATGACATGTTTGCTTTTGGATGTTTTCAGAGCAAATCGGCCGCAGCAGAATGGAAGCTGCTCACCATCCTGCTGCACTCACCCGCCCCCTCCCTCCCAGAGCCCATCACTAAGGACCCCCAAGGCCTGGGCCCTCCTTATCTGAAGGGTGGGCTGGCTCTTCTCAGGGAAGAAAAGAGAATGGGGCAGGGAGAAGGTGACAGTTCAGGAGTTCTTCCCTCCTCCCAAGAGTGAGGCCCGAGGTGTCCCCCACCCTATCGAACCACTTCTACACGGCCTAGAGAAAACGCAGAGGTCCTCAGAGAAAACATTCAGGGCTGCAAGTTCGACTTTCTCATCTCCCTCCCAGACCCACGGTGGGCCTCATATTCCTGTTCACCTCAGGCACCTTGGCCCCCTCAGTCATTCTCAGCTTCCGCAGCTTCCGGCCTTGTCTTCCTCACTCTCCCGTGCTGTGAGGGGCTGATCCCCCACTTCCCCAGTCTTCTCTGAGCATCATCATGGGGTCCGGCCTTTATGGGAGCTGGTTTGCTCTGAACTGAGTGCAGAGCGCCTCACTTGCTGTTGTAAAGGCAGATTTTTCTCTTACACTTCAGCCCTCAGGGTGAGAGGTGGAGCTCAGTGGCTCCCTCACTCTGTTTCTGCTTCTCAATGTCTGCAACCCTCTTCTTATGCAGAGTCCTGCTCCTTTGCAGATCAAGACATGCAGCTATGCCCCTTCTGGCTTCTTACTGGGGCAGGGGGACTCCTAGTCCTATCCTCCTGGTTGCTACTGTGTACAGACTTGGGCCTGTAATCTGCCCCTCCACCCCAGTGCAGGCCCGTTCTCAGGGACTTCGATATCCATGTAGATGACCCATACAACCCTTTGACTATTTGAATTTGACATTTTTCCACGAATAACCCTTTTTTCCCCTTCATTTTAAGCAGCCACTCCCAAGGTCACACATACCCTGGATATTGTCATTCAGAAGTGGTTTTAATCAAATCTCATTTTCAAACATCCCATTCTCTGGCAAGCCCTCCCCATTGTTCTGGTTTTCTAACTGCTAAAGACTGTCTCACCGAGTCTTCTAATCCTTGTATATTCCACATATCAGTAAGTCTGCTCAGAGGTCAACTTAACTCCTTACTCACTTGGACTTCCTGGTCATGCGAGAAACCATATCCTTGCTCTCCCTCTGGAATGCTCTGTGAGGAAGACTACGTTTCCCAATCTGTGTGGCCCTTCCACAGGCTCAACTGCAATGTGCCTTTGTCATCTCCATTGAGAGCTGCAGTCTAACTCTCCGTCCTTGAATATGAACTGGCTGTGACTTGATTGTAAGTAAAAGAATGCAGTGGAAGTAGCAGTGAGTGAATTATAAGGCTGGCTTAGAGACAACCATGCAGCTCTCCTCTCATTCTTCTGGGTTCCTCACTCTGGGGAAGCCAGCCAACCAAGTAAGGAGTGCATCACCCTAAAATGTCCATGCTCCTCCTTACAGTGATGGAGGACCATGTATAGGCTCCTGGATCAGCAGTCTCAGTGCATCCAGCCTTCCAGCCACTTCCACCTAGGTGCCAGATGTGCAAGTGAAGCTGACTTTGATGCTCCAGACCAGCCTATTTGCCAGCTGAGTACCACTGAGTGATTTCTGTCATGCCACGAGGAGCAGAAGAATCACCCAGCTGAGCCCTGCCTGAATTCCCAATCTGTGAAGCAAAAAAAAAAAAAAGAATAGCCCTAGCTGGTATGGGTCAGTGGATTGAGCACTGGCCTATGAACCAAAGGGTCACTGGTTTGATTCCCAGTCTAGGGCACATGCCTGGGTTGTAGGCCAGGTCCCCAGTAGGGGGTGTGAGTGGGGCAACCACACCGATGTTTCTTTCCCTATTTTCTCTCTACCTTCCCCTCTCTAAAATAAATAAATAAAATCTTTTAAAAATTTATACGTGTATATGTTTTTAAGTCACTGGACTTTGGAAGATTTTTCATGCCGTAATCATAGCAGTAATATTCTACTTGAAAACTTTAGCTTGCTTGAACACAGTCTGTATTCCTATCCCTGTGCAGCTAGAGAAAAATGACAAAGTAGGGATGACTGACCTTACTTTAAACATTAGATGGACATCAAGCCTAACTATCCTGCTGTGCTCGTGTGTGAACTTACCCCTTCCAGAGTCATCTATTTCATATAGTACCCCTGCCTCGAATCTCCTCTACTCCCTTTCCCAAGTCGTCCAAGGAGAGATGTCAAACGGGCAGCTGGATCTCTGATGAGTCTGGAGTTCAGGAGGAAGATTGGGGATAGAGATAGGAAGTTGAGAGTCACCAGGATATAAATAGCATTAAAAATGGTGAAACTGGATAATATCACTAGACAGTGGGAAAGAGAAGAAATTCAAGAAGTAGCCCTCAAGGTCTCCCAGGTTTAGAGATCCAGTGGAGAAAGCCACAAAATGCAGAGAAAGATGCCTGTGATTAGAGGACAGGCAGGAGAACATGTTCCAAAGACCGACAATAGAATGTTTTCCAAGGGCAAGTTCCTTAACAGGTGCAAGGAGATAAAGGGAAAAATGGAAGTGGAGGGATTCGTCTTTGAAACCTGAAACTTTCTTCATGGCAATAGGAAGTGGCAGCCAGAAAGTGTGCACAGGTGCTTCTGGATTCTAGATTAGATGGTAGGAAGATGAAGGAGCTCTCAATTGACGTTGTCTATTTTCTCTGTGAAATATACATGTTTAAAAAGCATCTCAGCCTTTCTATGTCTACAACACAACTCCTTCCTCACCTCCAATCTCACTCTTTCCTCGGCCTTTCCCAGACCAGTTAGTGGTTTGCCCACCCATCTGCTGCTTTGGCCAGAAACACCTGGCTCCTTACTTTCTCTCATACCCCATATCCAATCCAACATTAAGTGTTTCTAGTTCTACCACAAAAGCGTGCCTCAAAAATCTGATCTAGGCCTGGCTGGCATGGCCCAGTTGGTTGGAGAGTAGTCCCATAATGAAAAGATGATTGGTTTGATTCCCAGTTAGGGCCCCAACCTGAGTTGTGGGTTAGATCCCTGGTCTGCATGTGTATGGAAGGCAACAAATTGATGATTCTCTCTCTCTCTTTTTCCCTTTCCTTTCTCTCTAAAAGCAGTGAAAAATGTCCTTGGGCGAGGATAAAAAAAAAAATCTGATTCCTTCCCTCTGATTCTGTCACCTTCTTTTAACCACCCTGTCCATGACCTGATTATGGCTCTTGCTTATCTCTCTCCCTTTTCCCAAACCCATTATCCACAGTGCTGTAAAAGGAGAGAAACTTAAAACCCACAAATCAAATTTGACACCCCAACACATACCTAGAACCCTGCAGTGGTTTCCATCATACTTAAAATCTCAATGCCATGGGGACCAATAGGCATTGATTTTGGATTTGGTAAATGTCGGATTTGGTGAAATAGAGGTCTCGGCTGGAGAAATAGAAAACTGAGACCCTGACAATGGTCTCACTAAAGTGGACAGGTTCTAAAATCCAGGTCACAATTAGAATTATTTTTGCAGTTGTGGCTGTCATTTAAGGCTATTCCAGCCACATGAATGAGGTCTTATAAGACAGTGGGGCAGACTCATCATGAGAAAATAGTGGCCTGGTAAGGGCCACTCTGCTGTCTGCCACCCTCAGGCCCGTGCTCACAAGCTGAGGCCACAGAGTCTCTTGCAGAATAAATAACATCTAAATTTCAAAATTGAAGCTCCCCACTAGCCTTCACTGATACCACCCTGGCTGGGACAGGGAGGGTTGCCTTGATGCTGCTCCCCACACAGCCTCCATGACCATGTGGATGTGGCCTTATTACTGCTGAGTGGTGGTAGGCCCTGATTCTGCAGGGGGCTCCTGATGCTACCCCAGTGAGGAAGAGGAGTTACCTTGTTACTGCATGTGGGGGGTGGGGGGATGTCCAGGTTCCTGGCATGGTCTCTGCTGACATTGTGTGGGGCGTGGGGGGTGGAGTCGGGGAGAGGCTTGTGCTTCCATTGGGTTGAAAGTTCTGGCTCCCCATTTGGCCTTCTCTGACCCACCCTGGTGAGAGGGGTGGGTGCCTTGTTGTAGTTTAGTGAGACTGGAAGCCTAGGCTGCTCAGCCTTTGCTAGGATAAGAGTTTGCAGTTTCCATTTTGTTCTGTGTGTTTGGCTGGAGGAGAGCTGTTGTTGTCTAAATGTTTTCTGCCTTCACAAGCTGCCCCTTTTCTGTTCCTTGGCTAGAGAGAGCAGGCTTTCCTTGCAGACGGCTGTTATCTGTGCCCACTGGTATTTTTGGATTGGGAAAGAGCATATGTCTACCGCAGAGCCTGCAGCTTGCTGATGGTGCAGGCAAGGGCACAGATGCTGGGGCTCATTTCCAAAGTGGTTCTCCTTCGCTTAAAAGTACCGAAGAGAAGTATGATACGCCAGAGGCCCCAGAAGATATGTATGTATAAGAGCAGAAGACTTTCCTCGTTAGCTGCGAATATTCAGAAAGGTTTGATGAATCCTAGTCTGCAGGGTGTCTATAATACAGGCTCCTGGCTTGTGACCACAGCCCGCTCAGTAGGATTCTGACCATGATTAATTCTGAGAATCATCTAGGGGTGGCTTAGAATGAGTTGCTGTGATGCTGGGCAAACAATACTCAAAGAAAGATGGCACTGAGTTTAGTTGCTGTTCCAAAAATTTTAAAACACATCTGAAAAAAATACTTCAAATAAAACCAGTTATATTCAGAGGCAATTGCTCCAGTTCTACCAGCCAGATTTTGCCTCAGAACAGCCAACAACACTCCTGTTACCTATTAAACCTCTTTTCCTTAGAGAGGGATCTTCCTGTAGGGGAGCAGCCGTGTGTGGCTGTAGGCCCCAGAAGCTCCCCGAGGTTGACACTTCTTTCTTGAGTTGTCAGCTGCCAGTCTGGCTGTTAGATTCTCCACTTGGGGTCATCAGTATTTCTTTTTATAGAGTCAGACTGTTGGATGCTATGAACTCTTTGCTTCACTCAATCATATGAACCTGTTTAGCTTTACTTTTTAAAATCAGATAAGTGTAAGTCCTAGAGTCAAGAAATTACTGTGGAATATAACACATTTCCCCCCACTCTTCTCTGAGGATGAATTTTAGAGAGGGGCTAGCTACTTAAGATAAACGGTTGGGGTCATTGGAGCTGTCCACAGGGGACCTGTTATTTAAAGATAATCTCTTCTGATTAGACCTTGAAGCTTTAATGGACTCTAAATTTTACTAAGGCTATTTGTCCAGTGGTATCTAAAACTTACTAGGTGAATCCCAGGTAGCATTTCGGGAGGATGACCCAAGCACCCACTCTACGGAAGGCCCAGTTGTGATGCTCACAAGGAGACTTAGTCTAGCCAAGCAGTTAGGACCTCAGCATGTAAAGATGTGAACAGCAATGAAAGATTTAAATAATTTGAAACCAATGAGCATCATGTGATTGATTAATCAATGGCTTGTATCTGTTATGCTTTGCAGAAAGGAGAGAATGCTTTCTATTCTGGAGGAGTTGGAGTTTGAGCTGGTTCAGGGAAGAAAGGAAGGTGAGATTTGGGAATGTGAAGTGACCAGAGGAATCAGCCTAGATATACAGGAAGCATATTCCCAGAGTGGCCAGAGGCTAATAGGTTCTCAGCAAAGGCCAGGTTTACTATTAGCTTATGGCGAATACTTACTTCGGAGTGCTATTGGACACTCAGACTTTTCCCAAGATTGCATCTGGATCTTGTTCCTTGGGGACCACAGAAAAGCATTACCAAGTGCCCCAGATATCTGACTCTAGGCATGGCAGTAAGGGTGAGCTGTGGTGACTGTAACTCCCTCCAAGTGGTTTTGGGGATGGAGGGCTCTGATCCAGTTGTGTGGAACTTTCTACTGAGCCCAAAGGAGCTGGTGTCCTGCCAGTGGGGTTGAGAAGCCAGGGGAATAACATTCACTTCCTTTTTATTCATTCACACAACCTGTTTTAGAGAGTGCTGTCCACGTGTCAGGAACTGAGCTGGGTGCAAAGAATATAGGCAAACGGCTCTTAATGTCAGTTAACATTAATTACTGACATCATTTTAGATGACTGTGTGACTAGAGTGATGTGATAAGGAGTAAATAGGTGGTGGGGAGAGATCTGAGTTCAGGACACGTGGGATGAAACTGATGATTCAAAAGAAATGGACAGGTGAGGAAGAGGGCAGACATTCTCGTGTGCCAAGGAAGTGCAATGGCCCTGAGGTGATGCAGACACGGGCCCGCAGTGTCCACGTCATTATGGATGAAAGGAGACATTCACACGGACTACCAAGTCCTGTGGAGGAAAAGGGACAGCATGGCTTTTCTCTCAAGGGGAGCAAAAGGCTTGGCCCTTGCTGTGACCGGCCTTTACTGGGTTTCTCAGCACATTACATAATGGTCCTCATGCACGGGTTGTTTTAGGTGGTTACCTTTTACAGAAAACAAAGGAGCCACTGCCACTAATCACATCACAGAAGAAGGATATTTGCAAATGAAAAGGGAAAAAGTGGTTGAACCGGTTATACTCGTCCTTGGAAGGTTTAGCATGGATTTTAGGAAGTTACTTTGCAGTAAATGTTTGCCACTGGGGGCTGGGCCCACGCCACGCAGAACGGTCTCCTACACTGAGGTGAGGATAAGGCTGGTGAGCTGGAGAAAAGAAAGGCCAGTGTGGCTGTGGAGGATGAGTGTGACAGAGAAACAAGGAATGAAGGCTCAGAGAGGTGGTGGAGTCAGGCCAGCTAGGGCCTATTAGTTTGCAGTAAGAAGTTTCTACAATAGGACTATTTCTGCAAAATAGTCTCTGTGTGGTGGGAAATCACTTAGGTTT